CAGAAAACTTGGATCATAAAGTATCTCCCCTAATATTATGCAACAAGACTTATAATGTAAGGAAACTAATTCATAGCTCTTGTATTATTTAGAACACTTCTAAACTTTGGTTTGGTGCAGAATATTATGTATTGCCTATGCTTATGACTAATGAAATAGGCATCAAAATGTAAGTTTAAAGAGCTATTCTTCCTCCATATGGTTGTTACACAGGAAAGTAACAGTATGCCATGCTTGCTTCAAGGCATGCAAGAGTTCTCATTGCACAGTCATTTCTATAGTGTATTTTATGATATGTTTTAACTTTGTCACACACTGTTCAGAACTTTTGCATTTACTGCACGATACAGTTGTTTACTGTATGCAAGTAATAAAAAGTCTTCCACCACAATCCCCCTCTCCAAACCTCCAAAGACCCCCCCCCCCCACTAGTCTGTATCCTAAACAGGCTAACGACATTAGCTTTCAACAACACACTACCACACACTTCTATTATCAACCTGAAAACAAACCTGTATTCACTCTTGCTATCAAGATCTTTACATCACACTGTGGAAACATGGATGAAGAGTACCTAATTTTTTTTAAAGAAAAACTTTTCTTTCAAACACAAGCATGCAAACTGCAAAATGTACATTAAAAAATACCATCACAAATATATGAAAAGCTAAATTATGTTTGCTATCCTACTACAGTTCAGACAGGTTTTATTATAGCCCAGAATGCTATTTTGGCAAGTAAGATGCCTGACTGAAGTTATATAGAAGGTTTATCTGGCTCTAGAATTGCATTGCTCTCAAGAGCAAGTCCTTTACTTACACACATCGCCTGTACTTACACACATCAGACACCAAAATGTGCAACTATAATAAGCATAATTTTTGTAACGCATCCAGAGTCAGAGCATAACTATTAAATATCAGACTTCCATAATGCAGCCTATGTGATAGTATATTGGACCTTTATAACTGCATCTTACCTGACATATATTTTATTTAAGAAAGGAAGTTATAAGAGAGTAGTGCATTTTCCAGGAAAAAAATATGTAACTATGCTATCAAAATTAAAAACTATGCCAAACTGCTTATATGAACATCAAGTATATCAAAGAATCAACTACTGCTGGGATGAACCACTCAGTCTTTCACAGTATTTTTTCTCCTGCATTGTCTAGAAATTGTATCAATGTACCAGCAGTATTATTTGCTACTATTTTTTGGCTTTGCAGCAATTGTCATTTCAAAATGGCTAAGAAAACTTCATGAAAAAACTAAAACCTTCCTGACCCCTTCAAAGCCTTACCAGGTTACTTCAGTTAAACATAGACCAGGCATATATATTAACTGGAAGTATAAAATGGGAAAAGAAAGAAAACTTCTATTTTTCTGGTACAGACTCCAGTCTTCTCTGCCTGTAATAAGGCAATAACTGGCTTCAGCACATCAGCACACATGTTTGGAGAGCACAGCCAGAGCAAAACCCATGTTGGGTTAGTGATCATCCAGGTCCCACTCTGGAAAGTGACATTTAATTCCTCTCCTGTTTTCCCACCTTTCTTCCACTAATTTCTCTAATGTGAATGCCACTATGCTACCTCTCCTATCTCTTTCACCCACTTAAAACTTCCAGTGTCATTTAAGTTATAGCAGTGACAAGAGGTGGCTCTGAGACAAAGGACAGCATCCAGAGGTTGACAGCTAGAGACATGGCCTGCTGCTTCAATTCCTCAGAGCATTCACTGAGTACTCACTTGCACACTTGTAAAAGCAGACCATATAAGAATTAGCAGCAGTAGGGATCTCAAATGTTAAGTATGTGTTGCTGCGACCGAAGCGCTTACTCAGTTGTATTTATAATGTTAACCTTACACTTACAATGCATTTAACTATACAACTATTACAACAATATGATGTTCTACTGGGTAGTTCTAGAGGTATAGGAAATGCTGACCTTAGAAAATTCCCTACTCAGCAATTTGACAGCTTAAAATCTTGTTCTGAGCCTCTTGTATTAGCTATTTGCTATTTTTTTATTCTGAACTCCTTCATTTAGTGAAATATCAGACAAAGATACGGACATACTCAGACCATCAAAGGATTTTAACCTGTATGAAATCTGTAAACACTTAAGACCTTTCCTCTCATGTACGTAAAAAAATGGTCTGCCATTTGCTCTTATACATGTTTCAGTTTGCAAAGTCTAGAAGTTGCATTCCAATTCAAGAATTGACAGAATTTGACAATTATCTCTGTAATTGTCTTCAGTTAGAATATTTTTCCATTAGTTCATAAAAAGTGGTTAGTGGAAGAGTCTTGAAACATCACAGTTACAATGCTTTAAAATCAATTTATGTTTACCTCCTTTAGGTATGAAATTTAAAACCTTCCAAACTATTTTTCTATGTAATGTATCCTGAAATGTCAATCAAAAACATGAAATGGAGTCTAATTGATGATTTATTATCTATTTTAAGCATTATGACTGAATTACGAAAACAAAGCTTACTGGAGAGTCAAGTGTGCAACAGATTTTCATACACAAACCAGCACAATTTCTTCATGCTTGAGCATATCAAGTAAATCTTATCACCCTAGCACTGCAACTATGAACAATACCAACTTCTCCCCACACCTGCAAAAACTGAGGGCTGATTTTAAAGTATTTTAATATAACAAGGGCAGTATGATTAAACCATGTAAGTTACAGCTGGAAAACATAATATGAAACACAGGCTTTCAGAGGACATTATGGTCTTAAGCATTAGTATTTTTCCTGTGTATTCTGCTTTTACATTCTACTTCAATGTGATCATTACAGTAAAAACAAGCATGGAATTGGAAAGGAACATAACTTTATGAGGGGAAATAAAAGCCTCCTTGCACTGAAGCTTTTCATTTTTGGACCTAATGCAACTGAAGTGCCTCATCAATTCAGTTGCATGACTCTGCACTGGCACAGAGGAGGAGGTACAGATATGTGGCAGAAGCAAGCAGAACTGTAGCAGCCACAACTTCTGTTAGTTTACTGTTACTGAAGTGTTGGTCAAGCCTGCACTGCCATGAAAAAAAAAAAAAAAAAAAAAAAGCTGAGCTCTTTTTAATCTAGGTTTACCACTTTAGTTTACTACACAGCAATGCAAAAATTCATACTGTCCAGGAATGAAAACCACACCTTTCAATGCTTAAATGCCTGCAGAATTACTCTGCTGGAACTCAGTTTTGTAATTGATTTTAAATGAATTAAGACCTCAGTGTTGCTGAGAGGGACATTCCACCCACACAGCTTGCACTGACAACATATTCCTGCTTCCCCATGCATATGTTAACAGCTGTTAGATCTGATACAGCCTCCTCCATAGTTGCAAGAAACACAAATGCAAAAGGGGAGACAGAAGCATGCCGTTAGGAAGGGGAGGAGGGCAGGGCAGAGGAACTTCATAGTAGCAGTAGCTTTGTCTGCCTCAATTCCCAAGACTGCAGTTGGATGCTATTTTTCAGCAGGATCATCTCTTGATCAGTTAATATTGTACAAATGTGGGCACAATAAGGGGCAGCAGAAATAAACAGCCTGAAACAGGAAGAAGACAGGACTGCCTTCCAGTGCACTGACAGTTTAAATTGACTCATAGGGTTCACTAAAGTATACTCATAGATTTTACAAAATTGCTAAAGTGGAGCAGGTCCTCCAAGATGGACATACTACCGGCCAAGTTGTTTATCAACACATTCCTTTAACTTGACACCTACTTGCTTCAAAATGTACTGCCTTTGCCAACAAATTAGCTAATATAATAGAAAGGTAAAACCTTTTTTCTTTTAAACAATGTTTTAAAAATGCCTTAAATTCAGATCAGAAACTGTTACTGCTACAAGGTAAACAAAGCCATTTTAGTCACAGAATGTGGTTGAATATAATGTGGAATCACAAGTTTCAGAATGTAATCAATTCACATTATCTCTATGGTTAGGATAAAAACCTTGCTATGACTTATTATAAAAGAGCAAAGGGTAAGAAAGTCTTTCTCAACACACACTACTGACAATGGCTTGAAAGAGGAGTTTAAACAACAGTTGAGAATTCATTCCAATACATACAGACTGTAGACTCCAAAATGAAGGACAGAAGGATGAAAATCTGGAACTGCAATCTAAATAACTTCCTTTTTCTACTTCAAGCAATTGCACTTTTAACTGTGTCCAAATATAGAAAGATACAATTGAGGAGTTCACGCATAAGATGTGCTTATATTAGTTCATAGATTTACATGTCAAATATCTGCTTTCTGTACTAGCTGAAACTTTTTTTATTCCTAAAATCTTACAAAAGTAGCCAAATAAAACAATATAAAGCAATTTCAAAGGCCTTTACCCTAGTATTTTCTCTCATGTACCTCTAAATTTGTTGGGGCTGGTAGTAAAAGAGAAGCTTGCTGGGTCAATTCATCTTTGTCTTTAACAGTTTGAGAACTAAAGTTTGTTTCCAGTTTAGTGTTCTCCTATATTGAGTGGAAGCTTTTTATTATTTTTAGGCTTATTTTTAAAATAAATGTATTTGCTAGATCTTAGCTAGCCTGTGTGACATTCACATTAAATTTTGTATCACAGCATGCCAGTATATGAAAACACTTTCAAATAATACTACAGTATCATTTGACAGCATTTTGCTAAAAGTGAGGTTTGCTAAAAGTGGGCCTTGCACACAGTTCTGCAGGCTGTCAATACAATGGAACATGAACTGCCAATACAAAACAACACAAAAGAATTGTGGTACCAAATCAATATGCTTGGATTTGAAGCAACAACATTTCCACAGGCACAAAGTTACCTTACAATAATACTTCTGCAAAGCTTGAAGGCAATTTCAGCAACCAGCAAACTCCAGATGAAGTTTTAGCAACTCACACACCTTCCTGACATGCTTTATCCTCAGCTCCAACCATGCTTTCTGGACACATGACAGCAAATTAATTAACATCACTTCTATGCTAGCAGTAAACATACCACGGTGTTTTTCATCATGGCTTTAATCGTGAATCCCTCGGAGACCTGCTGCTTGTTTTTCTTCACATGCCCCAGGGGCTTCTGCAGCTGAGGGCTCCTGTCACCTGCGGGCTTTGAGGGGCCCGAGCCCTCTTTCTTCTCTACCATTTCCCCACCTGCCTCCACCACGGCAAGATGGAAAACACAGACTGGAAAGCAAAGAAACAAACATCAACGCCGCGGACCCACTAAGTTAGAAAAAGCAGTAGAACTGCTTCTGTTCCCTTGCCAAGCAGCGACACCCTCCTACAACCCCCTTCCAGGCGCTTTCCCTGCCCCCTCAGTCCCTTTCGGCACCGCTACTCGCCCATCCCCGACCCCACCTCCACCGCCACCTGCTCATCCCGACCTGCCTCTCCCTCACCGCACCTCACCTCCCTGCCGGGGCTCCCGCACCGGGATCGGGCGGTGGCCGTCACCGGCCACCGGCTATCACCGGCGCTAGCACGCGTCCCCGGCCTCGCTACCGTCACTAGGCAACGCGTCAACAACCCGCCGCCTCTGCCGGCGGGCGCCACGAGCGCTTGGGGAAGTAGGGGGTTAAGCAGAGACACCCCAATGGCAACACTCCCCCCGCGCTGCCCACCAGCAGGTGCACTCCAAAAGCGGGGGCGGCTCGACAGCAGTTAACACGAAGTCATTAACGCGGGGGGGGAAGAACTGGTGACGTGAGGAGAAACAGGCGGTGTGAAGAAGAGAGAACTACGTTACCCAGGGGGCCCTGGGCCTTGTGCGCATGCCGCTGGCAGCGCGGCCGGCAAGGGTGCGTGTGCACGCGCGCGGCGTACGTGTATGTACGTGAGGGTGCGCGCCCGCCTCCCCTTCCATGCCCTGCCGTCCTCCCCCGCTATAGCCGCCATGATAGGTGAGTGAGCGAGCCCGGATGCAGAACCGCCCTTTCCTGCCCGCCCCTTTGCCGCCGCGGCAGCTGCGGGCGCGTCGGCCCTGGGGGGCGGCTTGGGCGGGCGGCTTGGGTAGGCTTGTCTCCCCTTGGTCCAGGTCGCCGTGTCCGGCCGCGCAGCCTGCCCTGATGCCTCAGTGGGATGGGCCTCCTGGGACCACGCTGCGGGAGGCGGGGAACGCCCGCTGCTCGCGGTTCCCGGGGGTCGCCGGCTGGGTGGTGCCTTCAGCACCTCCTTGTTTCGTTACCGCCCCTCTAGGGAAAGCGCTCGGTGCGCTTGGCGGAGCGCGCGGAGGGCGCGGGGTCAAAAGTGTCAAGGTGTCAGTGCTCTCCTTTACCCCTCTGCTGGGGATGACCCGTCAGCGGCATGCCCAGGGTTAGTGACTGAGGTCGTTTTAAAGTTGGTTTTTATTGCCTCTCGGTTGTAAATATTTCTGGGTGGGTGTGTGTGATCTGTGGTGTTTTTTTGCCCTTGCCTTGTATACATACGTGGTGTTGGTCTTTCACGGTACTTGTTGGGGGTGCTCTGAAAAAGCAATTTAAGCCTAGTCATGTTGGACGTTTGACCCTTTGGCCCTTGATTTGGCTTCTGTACCATCTAATGCTGATATGACATGTGAATAGGTTGTTTCAGAAGTGGGGTTTTTAATCTTGTTTATAAGATCGGTGCGTACCTGGGGAGTCCCACAAATCACAGGATCCATTTTGTAGTCCTGGCATCTCATGACACATTTCATCTTGCTTTCACTTTCTCATTTCTGTGGATTATTTAAAGTAAAAGCTGTAAAATGTAAAACACGTGCTTGTATTTCAAGAACTCCTTGCCTTCCTCAGACTTGCTGTTTCACCTTGAGTGTGGGTGTTATAGTTGCTGTATATGTAAGACCTGATCAAATCGAAAAGCATGCATTTGTTGTTGAAGTATTTATTGTTTTTTATAATAAACATCTCAAAAGTGACCAAGAATCCTATGGATCTTTCAACTAGACAGAATATTTTCAAATTATATGTATATGAACACAAGTATTTGGGAAATGTTCTTTTTCTTTCAGTTTTACATCAGCTAAAAAACTTATGTACATGGTATTTTCAGTCTGTCTAATTATTTATGTAACTGGTCTCTTTCTAATGGGATCTTATTCAGTTTTCTTGCTAAGTGGACCTTTTTTATGTAACAAAGAATATTTTAAATGAAGAGCTTGGCTTAAGGAAAGAACACAGGGTCAGGTATTCTGCCATCTCTCATCTTGCAGTGTTGTCTCTCTTGACACCTTGCTATAGTATATAAAATTGTTCTGCAAGTAATAGGGGAGCCAACAAGCAGGGGTGCTTGACCTCATGCTCACCAACAGGGAAGGGCTGGTTGGAAATGTGACTCTCCAGGGCAGCCTTGGTTGTAGCGATCATGAGATGGTTGAGTTTGAGATCCTCAGGACAGTGAGAAGAGCGTGCAGCAAGCTCACTGCCCTCGACTTCAAGAAAGCAGACTTTGGCCTCTTCAGGAGCATGCTGAGTAAGGTTCCATGGGAAAAAGCCCTAGAGGGCAGGGGGGCCCAAGACTGTTGGTTGGTATTCAAATATCGCCTCACCTGCTGCAAGCTCAGGAGTGTTGTATCCCAACTAGAAGGAAGTGCAGCAGGAGGGCCAGGAGACCACCTTGGATGGATAAGGAGCTGCTGAGGAAACTTCGAAGGAAAAAAAGAGGCTTATAAAAGGTGGAAGCAAGGACAGGCAGCCTGGGAAAAGTACAGGGATGTTGTCCGTGAAGCTAGTGTCCAGGTTAGGAAAGCTAAAGCCCAATTAGAATTAAACTTGGCCACGGATGTGAAAGGTAACACGAAGGGATTCTATAATTGCATCACAAATAAAAGACAGACTAGGAACAACTTAGGCCCCCTCTGGAAGCTATCAGGAGAACTGGCTACCCTGAATTTGGAGAAGGCTGAGGTTCTTAATGGCATCTTTGCCTCAGTCTTCACTGGCAAAAGCTCTGACCACACCACCCAAGTCTTGGAAGGCAGACAGGGACTGTGAGAATGAAGGCCCTAGGCCCACTGTAGGAGAGGATCTGGTTCGAGACCATCTTAAGAACCTGAATGTGCACAAGTCCATGGGACCTGATGAAACCCATCTGTGGGTCCTGAAGGAGCTGGCAAATGAAGTTGCAAAGCCACTGGCCATCATATTTGAGAAATCATGGCAGTCAGGTGAAGTTCCCGACTACTGGAAAAAGGGAAATATAACCCCCATTTTCAAGGTGGTCAATGGCTCAGTGTCCAGCTGGAGACCAGTAACGAGCGGTGTCCCTCAAGGACGGGTTTTATTCAACATCTTCGTCAGTGATGTAGACAGTGGGATTGAGTGCGCCCTCAGCAAGTTTGCCAATGACACCAAGCTGTGTGGTTTGGTTGATACACTGGAGGGAAAGAATGCCATCCAGAGGGATCTTGACACGCTTGTGAGGTGGGCTGATGCTCACCTTATGAAATTTAACTGTGCCAAGTGCAAGGTCCTATACCTGGGTCGGAGCAGTCCCAGGCACAGCTACAGGTTGGGCAGAGAAGAGATTCAGAGCAGCCCTGCGGAGAAGGACTTGGGGGTGTTGGTCGATGAGAAAATGAGCATGAGCTGGCAGTGTGCACTTGCAGCCCTGAAAGCCAGCCATATCCTGGGCTGCATCAAAAGGAGTGTGACCAGCAGGTCGAAGGAGGTGATCCTGCCCCTCTACTCTGCTCTTGTGAGACCTCACCTGGAGTACTGTGTGCAGTTCTGGTGTCCTGAACATAAAAAGGGCATGGAACTGTTGGAACAAGTCCAGAGGAGGGCCATGAGGATGATCAGGGCACTGGAGCACCTCCTGTATGAAGACAGGCTGAGAAAGTTGGGGCTGTTGAGCCTGGAGAAGAGAAGGCTGTGTGGAGACCTCGTAGCAGCCTTCCAGTATCTGACGGTGGCCTATAAGGATGCTGCACAGTGACTTCATTAGGGACTGTAGTGACAGAACAGGGGGTAATGGGTTCAAACGTATACAGGGGTAGTTTAGATTGGATATAAGGAGGAAGTTCTTTACTGTAAGGGTGGTGAGGCACTGGAATGGGTTGCCCGAGGAAGTTGGGAATGCACCATCTCTGGCAGTGTTCAAGGCCAGATTGGACAGAGCCTTGGGTGACATGTTTTAGTGTGAGGTGTCCCTGCCCATGGCAGGGGGGTTGGAACTAGTTTATCTTAAGGTCCTTTCCAAGCCTAACTATTCTATGATTCTATACATGTTTTTACAGAACTGCAGTGTGTGTTTGGTTTTGAATGCTTTTGAGAAGTTGAGTGTACGTAAGGGACTGCCCATGTGGTTAAGAGTTGATGCCTCTGGCCCTCATACTGAATTCTAAATGTTTACTTACAGCTCATAAAGATAATATTTATATGTCTGAGGACGTATAATTTCATTTTCACTGTGGCAAATGGAAATGTTTGTGAATATTAATTATGAAATTAGTTGCATATTTATAAACACAGTTTTACATGAGTTGCAATCTTAAATGATTTAAGTAGCAACCTGTTGGGGGAAGTGGGAAATTAAAATTCAGATCCTGGATATGTAAGAATTGTCTTTAAACTATATGATACAGAGACTTAGTCTTCTTTCCTGCTTTCTCAGAGGTCTCCTCTAAACATCTCTGAGTTAGGAATGACATGGTGATATTGGGGGCAGGAGGTGAAGGGTGAAATAATTTGTGTAATCTGTGTGCAGGTTTTTGACCCGAGTATTTAAAGAGTTATCCTATGAAGGCCATGGCATATTTTCCAAAATGTTTTAGTGTCATATTTTTGGAAATGCTCTATTGTTATAAAAACCTAATATCGCCAATCTGTTTTAATTGATTTTTATTATAATTAATATTGAGAGGCAATAAGCAAGCAGCGCTGGGTGCGCCGGGGAGTCTCCGCTCCACCGGGGACGCACGAAGGGAACTTCTGGGGATAGTCTTTTATACTTTTTTGTCTTGGGTTTCAGCCAGTCCTGTTGTCTTCTTTTCCCCAGCTTCTTGGGTTTCAGCCAATCCTGTTGTCTTCTTTTCCCGGGCTTCTTCACCTGTTGCTGGGGTCTTGTCTCTGGGTGAAGAATTACTATGTCTATCACAAGTCTGACCACCATCTTAGCCCCCCTAAATTCCACTCCATATGCGTTTATTTGTTCAACACGCAGATTTCACAACGTTCTGTAACAGGACACATCTCTAAGTTACCTACCCCCTCCTTTTCTAAGAACATTTGTGCAATTTAAACAATGAACAAAACATTTCTTTGCACAATATTGCGGTTGACCCAGGGGAATTATTCGCTTGTTTCTTCTTCCTCCTCACTGTGGCATTGGCAGGGACACTTATCATACCGTTTGCGCATAGCACAATGATCACAAGGGATTCCATCTCCACACAAAGTGCAATGATCACTAGGACCTCTGAGTTGCTGACACGAATCACTCTGATGTAGCTCACATCTATGTCCTCCTGGGTCTTTGTGCCAAGGAATTCTATAATATAATTGTGCAATACATGACAATTCCTTTAATTGATTTATAATTTCCCATCCCTTTCTTTTTAT